GTGGCTGGCGCCTTAGCCGGTTGAGCTATAGGCGCTGAGCCGCAATATGAACTCTTGATGCTCTAGTTCAGGGGTCAGAAAACTTTTTCTGGAAAAGACCAGGTAGGCTTTGCAGGCCATACAATCTGTTGCATAAACCCATCTCTGTTGCTATACAGTGAAAACAGCCATAGACAATTTGTAAATGAGTAAGTATTATTGTGTTCTAATAAAACTTTATTTATGGGCAATGCCCGTAACTCAGTGGGTAGGGCACCAGCCATATACACCAAAGGTGATGGGTTCGAACCCAGCCCAGGTCAGCTAAACAACAAGGACAACTGCAACAAAAAATTTATGGTGGGTGCCTGTAGTCCCAGCCACTTGGGAGGCTGAGGCAAGAGAATTGCTTAAGCCCAAGAGTTGGAGGTTGCTGTGAACTGTGACACCACCCCATTCTACCAAGGGCAACATAGTAAGACTGTCTCCAAAAAAAGAAATAACTTTATTTACACAAAACAGAAACAGGGAAAAGAAGAAATTTAGTCCTGCTCTAGATGAGGACTTCTTAAATATGGCTCTTTGAGAAGACCCAACCAATTAAAAATCCCTTGCAATAGTGATTGAAATGTAGATCCCTGGGACCTCCAACTTTAGACCTCCAGAACAAAGGTAGGTCCCAGGATCTGCATTTCAACAAACCACCTAGGGATAATGATGCATTCTAAATATGCAACCTTCCTCTTCATTTGTTCAGAAACAAGTCATATGGAAAGCTTCAGACTCTCCATGTCCCTAGATCAGGTCACAATTGCATATTCACATACCAAATGCCCAATGTCCTCACTATCCACCACCATTCATTCCAACAGCCACCTGACAGAGAAAGACTTCTGAGTTTCACATTTACTCATTCTCATTACCAGTCTTTTTATGTTAAGTATAATAATATGCCCTGAGTATGGAAGCTCATATTCCAGTACTTGATATGCTAAGTACTGAGCATGCACTCCTAGCATGTTGAAGATGAATCAAAGGTAAAAGAAAAGCAGCCACTCTGGACACAGCTTTCACATCCAGAAACACAGATGCTACAGCCAAGAGAAATGTTTTAGAAAACAAGAAAGCAACATGTGTTACTGACATGACTGTTCTCCCTGAGGTCATGCCCTGACCTCTAACATAGGAACTTTTTTCTTCCCTGAAAAGGATGGGAAACAAATAGTGGACTATTCTCTCACTCCCTCATTTGCTTTTCCCCAACAGAGACCTTGGCCCAACATTAAGACTGGCATTTTAAACATTACTGCTGATGACTGGCCTGTTTCCCTCCGTCTCTAAGGCTGGCCAGTACTCCAAAAAAACTCCAGCCCATACCCGTCAGTTCCCATTTTTTCAGGCAGTAAGTCTACCTGGTCACAGGGAATGGTCAAGGCTAGGTCAGGAAGTTCACCAACCTCTCGGCCATCTTATTCTTTTCTGCCTGCATCTGATGAGGTGGGGGGCAAGAAACAAAAGTACCTCTCCCCGAAACAGGATCAAGCCCTAGGCTTAGGGAAAAGCAGTAAGAGGCACCGGACTTGGCAGCAGAGTAAGGTGCAATCTCCAACCCAGTGGGACTAAGATCAAAGCCCACACTGAGGAGAAACCCTTAACTTGTCTAGAATCAGTACAGAAGGGTCTGATTATTTCTTTTTTTAATTGAGACAGTCTCATTTTGTCATCCTCAGCAGAGTGTCATGGCATCATAGTTCACGGCAATCTCAAACTCTTGGCCTGAAGCAAGTCTCTTGCCTCAGTCTCCCTAGTAGCTGGGACTATAAGTGCCCACGACAATGCCCAGCTATTTGTTTGTTTGTTTTAGCAGGTCCAGGCCAGGTTCAAACTCAATAGCCCTGATGGATGTGGCCAGCACCCTAACCACTGAGCTACAGGAGCCCAGCCTGGTTTTGATTAATTAACATCTACAAAGCAGGTCTGATTCTATAAATTCTCAATAAAACATTCTGAGATGCTGCCATAGCCCCTCAGAGAAGGGATTTAGGATCCCAATACTTCCTTCTTCCCTCCTTTGCTAAGTTCTCTATAATCTAAACAAGAAATCCTGGCCTTAGACCATGCTTACATCTGCGTGGGACACATATGCACTCAGGGTCCTCACCACAGAGTCCTAAAATATTTCCCTTAACCTGTGAAAAGAAAGGAAGCAGGAAAAAGAAAATACATATATTTATATTTACCAGCTTCTGTCCCACAATATTGTAGTGGCTGAAGGACTGGACAAGTGCCAAAAAGCAGACTTTACAGTTAGCTAGAAAACAAAATAAAATGATTTTTAATAAATCCTCTGCTTATAACCAGTCTCATAGACTACATACCTCTGCAAGCAACAGCACTGAGGCTGATCTAGAGACCCAGAAGCCTTATACCCTGACATTCACAATTTGATTCTAAGATGCACTATTTTCTTATTTAACTTATGCTTCATTTCACTGATTGAGATGTATTTCCATCCTATGCATTACTAGATAGTTAATTTTTATTGTAAATATGGCAAATTGTTGTCTTTTTAAAAATTATGTCTTTTTTTCTGTTTACTGTTGGTATAGAGGTATACAAGCAATTTTCTAGCTTCTTTTTCAAACTTTCAAGTTTTTATTTTTAGTTATTATTAACCAGTCTTATATCCAATAGGAAATAAGAAAAGCATGAAGAAGCTCCAACTATCTGACTGAACCTTATTAAATCTAATATAATTTATCTGTAGATTCTCTTGCTTTTCCTAATGCTGACCATCATATCATCTGAAAGAAAAAATCACTTTCAAAGCTGTAAAGGTCTATGGGTCGTGCCTGTGGCTCAGTGAATAGGGTGTCAGCCCCATATACCGAGGGTGGTGAGTTCAAACCCAGTCCCGGCCAAACTGCAACAACAAAAAAATAAAAAATAAAAAAACTGTAAAGGTCTAGCTCATACCCCAGCCTGCCAAAG